AGACAGCTGATTATCAGAAGTGTGAGATGCTGGAGAATTTACTCCAGTGTCCTGTTATATTTTAGATAGCAAGGAGTTTATTAAACTTCACTGAAACAATCTGCAAATTTCATTAAAAATTAATAAACTATCATCTTGTCTTTATTGTTAGTTAGCACAGACCTTAAACACTTAAAGCTGTAAGCTAATGATAGTTATATAAGAGCAGATGCTGCTGGTGCAATAAGCTGAACGATGATGATCTGATTAGTCGACTAATCGCAAAAATAATCGTTTGTGACAGCTCTACATGGCAGCTAGGTCTGTCTTTAAGACTCCAACGTGGGTGAGAGAAAGGCTGAGAACTCAAACTCCTCAGCAAAATGTTTTATGAAGTCGTTGATCAAGTGAGCTATAAGAACATTTGCCTACAGACTGGCCTTTAACAAGAATGCAGATTTAAGGCAGTTATAGATTAACTTTGTTTTTAAACCTGGAATTTTCAAAGCTTACCTTGGCCAAACGTGAAAACCTTGCCATCTTTGGTTAAAGCCACGGAAAACTGAGTTCCACAGGCTACTTTTTTTATACCAATCCCACACAGCACGTCCACTTTCTAAGGATTTCAAAACAGATCAGGGTCACAAACAGTTTCACTGTTTGATAGGCCAACAGATTAACTTCAGTTCATTGATCAGGCATCACAATGCAGCAGGTACCTGAGGTGAGGACTTGGCTGTGGAATTCCCAAGTCCCAGTTTCCCGTAGTCTCCATCGCCAAAGGCCCAAACCATCATTCCATCAGCAGAGACAACTAAAGTGTGGTTCAAACCACAAGCCACCTGAGGAGGGAGCACACGACAACACCAACTATCAATAGCTAAGATAAGGCTGGACAACTGAAAATAATCAAAACAATTAGAACTCAAAACTGCCCCAAAGTAGTTCCAGCAACCAGAAATAATCTGCCAAAATGTCACAACACCTAGAGCACAATCATATTACTGCAAAAACCTTAAAAAATTAGCTGATGGGGTTGGAAGGTTGGTAGCTTGATCGGCTCCAGTCTGTATGCCAAATATCCTTTGGGCACAACACTGTGTGTAAACGTGTGAATGTTAAACAGAAAGCATGTGCTCGTATGAGCCCTTTGAGTAGAAAAGCTCTATATAAGAACCACTGAAATATTTATTTCACAGTGTTTTTTGAATGTCCACAATCAGCATATAGCACCAGTGGACACATGACGACTGATGTCTTCATATTGTTCTCCAGTATAGAAAACAGTAACAGTGTAACAGTACAGAAATCCTCTGAATGTGCCGCGTATCCAAGCATTTCACAGACACCAACTGTAACAGTAATGAACGTCTTACCTGTCCTACATGGTAGCCCTCCAGAGCAGTGACCTTCTCTGGCAGCTTCTTGTTTGAGGTGTTCCCCAGCCCTAGTCTTCCATAATCACCATTACCAAAAGTGAAAAGCTTCCCATCAGCTGTGACTACGGCCGAATGTTTGAACCCGCAAGACATCTAAAGAGTGAAGAAAGCACAGAGCATTGTAACTGAAACTGCCTATCTCTGTGATGTTCTTGTTAACCCCAATAAAGGTGTGCAGAATATGGAGGAGAAGCGTGACCCAGAGAAACCTTAATAGATATACAACAGAATTCTGCAACAGCAAAGGTAGTGTTGGAAGTCTAACCTTCAAGAGAAAAAACTTATTTTTGGCTCAAAGTAGGCAAACATGTTTTATTGATTCCCACAGAATTACACTGTACACCGCTCAAAAAAGATTAAAAGAACACTTCTTAAGGAGACTCTAGCCAGAGTACAACATCTGGAATACTGATCAGTTAAGTAGCACAGAGGATGTTTTTGTGTTAATAAAATCAACAACAGGGTGGCTGTGGCTCAGGTGGTAGAGCAGATCAGCTACGGAGTGGAAGGTTGGTGGTTCGTGCCAAATATCCTTGGGCAAGATACTAACCCCAAGTTGCCCTCCGATGCGTTCATCGGTGTGTGAATGTTGGTTAGTTTGCACTTGAGTTTAGAAGTGCTTCTAGGAGTGGGTGTGAATGGGGAGAATGAGGCATGTTGTATACAGCGCTTTGAGAACATCCCAGCTTCATAGGTGGAAGCCACTGACAGATGAAGAGGGGACTTTTTAGTGTGGTGGGTCCTGGTTCCTCTGGGTGCATGATGATGTCAGGTCTCATGTGCAGACAGTATGAGAGAGCAGGCTGTTCCCAGAGGATGAACTGCCATTGACTGGCCCCCACGCTCGCATAACCTAAATCCAGTATTACACCTCTGAGATATTGTGTTTTAGTCTATCTGAACCTCAGGTTGTCTCTCCAAGAGCTCAGTCATGCCCTGGTACAGATCTTGGAGGACATCCCACAGCACATGGATACACAAACTATTCAATTTAACTCCATTTTGTTGATACATTTAGATACATGTGATATATCCAGTATACATATTTACTTATATTTATAAGGCAGACCTTACAAACTAGTGAGTACCAATAAAATGTATACCCGGTCACATCATTGTCTGAATTCAGCCCTCTGTACATATCCTGCATGGTTTTTTTGGGTACTGTGGAATTGAATAAAATTAGTGCTGTCAGCATTAATCTTGTTAAAATGACGTTAATACCATAACCGCATTAACACTGTAAATCTCTGTTAGCGAGTTAACACAGATCGCCCCGTGCGAGGGTCTGCACGGCACTAACGCATTGATTAGCTAACTGCGCTAACGTATTAATGCCGCGCATTCCCCCCCACCATAACCGTTAATGCAGTCATGGCTTTAAAAATATATTTCATTTAGTGCTGTCAGCGTTAATATGACATTAAGGAGGGTGGAGACTTACCTGGACCACCTCCTCTCCTTGCAGTGCCTCAATCTGTCGGGGCCGTCGCTGGCGGTCACTGTTTCCATGTCCAAGCTTGCCGTAGTCACCGTCTCCCCAGCTGAACACCTCGCCGCTCTCTGTCAGAGCCATGGAGTGACCATCACTGCCACAAGATGTAACCAACTGGGTCACAACAAAACCTGGTAAGAACGAAAAGCACATGACAGGGTTTATGCCACCAATCCGCTGACCAAAGGTTCTTTTAGCTCTATATTTCGTGCACACCAGCTACCACAAATAATTTGCCTTTTAGCCGTTAAGCGTTCTGCTACATTCAGCTGGCTTTGTGCCTGTGTGTTTGTTACTTTTGGTTGTGTACAGGTGTTGTCATGTCACCTTGAAGAGCTGAGATGACAGTAAGGACATGCAGGTCATCTGAGTTGCCTTGTCCCAGGCGGCCATAGCTCCCCTCTCCACAGGCCAATACGGTGCCGTTGGGCTGGATCACAAAGGTGCAATTCTGCCCACACACCACCTACAAGAAACGAGAATGTGAACGAGTAATCACAGGTAGAAATAAAATACAGCTCACGCTGCTGTTTTAATTATAGAAACAAAGTTCAAAAAACAATATGTCCAGCAGTTTATGTCTCTGTACCTGCTGTGCCTGAGAGAAGGAAGGGGCAATGGTTGGAACGAGGATATTTCTTCCAGCCTCTGCTAGCTGACCGTGTCGCCCTGCACCCCACAGAAACACGTCACATTTCCCTCCGAGGTGCCAGTCCTGATCATGAACCCAAACATGAAAAATGGAAGAAAAGAATCGGGTTGAAACTAGATGTGATATTAAATCATGAGGTAAGGATTTGGTTGTCAATTTTTGAGATCAAGAAATGTGTTTGTTGTGTGGAAATATCCACCTTCTCACCTGGCCTGACATCCCTCTTACTTACCATCACCCTTCAGTTAAGCTCACTGTTGTTAATGTTGTGATTTTGGCTGATTGAGACACTTTTTACACCATTTTACCCAAAAATGCAGAGCAAATATTCTGTGACTGTCTTACTGTTTCACAATGACCTCTTGCTCTCTTTCTGCAGTCAGAGGTATTAGCAGCAGATGAACCTGAGGTATCAATTTCAACATCCTATGTTGCCTTGTTGTCAAGTTACCAGAATTTCAGAAAACTTGACCTCTGACCTTGATCTTGAGGTTGACTTCACTGAAATTCTAATTCATCTAAGATTTTTAGTAGACACCTATGGTTTCAGTTTCAAACTCCTACATTACTACATTACTTCCACGTTGCTTCCCTGCCTGCTCGGCAGCGTGACAGCAGTACTGCATCAGCCTTTTACGCCGAGGGCTAAAAAAAACAAAGCTATGATCACCTGTACCTAAATAAATAGATATTTAGAGCAGCGGTCTCCAACCTTCTTTGCACCACGGACGGTTTATGCCCGACAATATTTTCATGGACCGGCCTTTAAGGTGTCGCGGATAAATACAACAGAATAAAACGTGAACAGACCCAGGAAAACTGAGTAAACGATAAAAACGATAACAAAATAACGCTGGAAACCGATAAAAACCCTGAAAACCAGACATTTCACACCTGAGCCTCAACTCTCGCGGCCCGGCACCAAACGACTCACGGACCGGTACCGGTCCGAGGCCCGGGGGTTGGGGTTCGCTGATTTAGAGGACTGTAGTTGGATAAAAAAGGGAGGGCTGAACGGGTCACACCAAAAAGTGATTTCAACAATTTAAACTATTGTAAATGACTTGGTCTAAAATCTGTTAAATATCTCTTGATTGCCATCAGCTCATTTTGATCATATCCCCATCGCAAGGTAAACTCTGCAATCGGTTTTGGGCAAAGTGACTTTTCTATAATCTATAGCAGCAGAAACAAACATAACAGTTCTATAAAGATACTTTAGCTGTAAACAAACCATAAGTACTGATTATAATGCAGAAGATAGAGTAGGTGCAATACTGCAATCATAAAGATACTTGCAAAACGTGTTGTACTTTATCTCCCCCTGTAACTCCTGCTGACTCCACATTATTTATCAGTAAAGACATAAAAACTATACAGAAACATTTGAAATCACTTTTTGGAACAACAAGGCAGAGGCAGTGTGTGACTGCGGTGTGTGACTGCGGTGTGTGACTGCGGTGTGTGACTGCAGTGTGTGACTGCGGTGTGTGACTGCGGTGTGTGACTGCAGTGTGTGACTGCGGTGTGTGACTGCAGTGTGTGACTGCGGTGTGTGACTGCGGTGTGTGACTGGGTGGACTGCTGGCTGCTCTGAGTATTGGGGGAGCTGTAGCTGAACTGAGCGGAGAGTTCAGAGTGTGGAGAACGAATCTGAGACAATAGAGAGGGAAATGAATTTGGTTCAAATCTAAGGAGCAGAGTTATCGAGGTGAAGCTCAAGAGAGGCAGAGCAGTGTAAGCACTGGATGAGAAGCCAAACACATCATCCAAAGTAACTTCTCATAATGTTCTTCTTCTGTACTAATTAAGCCATTTACATGTGTTAGCTTTTGTGTTATATTTGTTCATTATTGTATTCTAATATGTATTTTAACCTTCTGTAATGAAACAATTTATCTTCCTCTTAAACATTTCTAAAAATCCTACCTAAAATCAGAAAAATCATATGAAAATAAGCAGCTAAACTTGAAATGATTTCTCTGCCATCACTACATACTGCAACAGCAGTATAAAGCGTATAAAGCAGTACCCCCGGGAGGGGGGCCATTTATTTCACCTAAACTGTCAAAGTTACCTCTGGCCTGGAGGTGGCCCATGACATGATCTGTTCATCCATACTAGCTGACCATTTACTGTTGTCCTGTAGAAATAAAAGCAAAGGCTGCTGTTATGAGCTGCACAGGTTTTGATTACATTCTAAATTACAGTTTAATCAGCTTTGCTCACCAGGAGCAGAGCCATTTCATCTTTAGGCACGGGTTCCAGGTCAGGAACGGAGAAGGACTCGGGGAAGGCTGCACCTCGAGCAAGAGCCTCTGCCGCCTTTACTGTGGTGGAGAAACAGTCCAACCATGCCCACTCGCTGGCGCTCCATACAGCGATGCCAGACTCAGGTGGGCTGTGTCGAAGGTGGGGCGGCACAGGGGGACGGCACAGAAGCTGGTCCAGATGGAGACCTACAGCCAGAGAGGCAAGGCACTGCATGTACGGGCTGTGGACAAGCTGCTCCCCGCATACAACATGGGGCTGGAAGTAGAGAGCAAAGAGAGACATTATTAGTGTCAAATACTATTAATCTGTCATGAATAGTTCAAGTTTGGCTTTTATTTTTTTCTCAGAGTTCTCCAACACAAATAGAGCTGAAGAAGAAGGTTTTTTCAGCCCAAGAAAGAAACATGGTGATATAATCATCTAGTACAAACTCTGACTTCTAGTAGGGGCTATATCATATCTCCCTTTACCTTCTCATAGGCATACTGCTCCTGCAACATGACAGGCAGTCTCTCCAGGAAAGCTCTCATGCAGGGTGCCAAGTTGAGGCCGACCACACCTTGCTTCTTCAAAGCCGTGCGGCAGGTGGCCAGCACATGGTTAGATGCCATGAACTCTTTGGAGCAGTTCACAACCAACACATCCTGGAAATCAAGCCATACAAAAAGCAAATGAAACTTAACTGAGGACAAATATAATCATACAAAATGACGGAGACAATGGAGTCAAATGAGACAACTTGCCTTTGACCTGTTGGAGCAGACGGCCACGCCCACATCTGAGACCCAGACAATGTTCTGGACAGCCCCTGACCCAGCTACCACGGTCTGGAGTACTGAGCCATCCTGTTGGAAATGGACACACACACACACACACACACACACACACACACACACACATGACATTACTTGTCATGTTCTCATGTTATTGCTAAGGATTGTCTATTGCATTGG